TAAGAGCTTATTTAAACCGTATTTCAATTTAGTCCCTCCACTTAAAGCAAATTATTCTCGAATTGGTTTGGTTCAATCAAATTTCGTGAAATTATTCATTTTTATAACATTTCTCTCGAGTGTACGTCAACACTTTTTTGTTTTATTAATTCTCTCATGTGATGACGCGGGTTTTTTTACTTTGTTATAAAACGACCAAATCATTTTAGGTAATAATATGCTGGGCAGCGCGTTTACATCAGGATTATAATAATTACCCAAGTGTATAAATATAAATTAGAGTGATTTTCATAGACGAGCTTTTTAATGTAAAAATTCTTCATTATTTTTTCTTAATAACGATGGTTTAGAATAATCGTATGTTCGTTATGCGGTACGAGATAGATTAACATAGAGAATGAAAGGGAATGGTCTTCGTTTTAATTAGAGCACGCAATGTTGCAAAATTAAGTCATTTGCGTGAGCAATTAAAATGGTGTTTTGGATGGTTTCAGTGCAATGGAATATTAAAAAACGATAAGATGTATACGGACGTAATTACAAACTGAAACGTAAACCGCTCACTAATTAAATAATAATTATAATAATTAGAACATTATTAACAAGAAATAATAACAATAAAATAAAACTAACCCTATCTTAAAATGCAAACTAGGTGTATGTAGGGGAAACCCGGAAAAAGTAATATACGCGTTTAAAATAAAAAAAATGCCAATGTGTTTTTTAACGAATGCAGTTGATATTATAGGTATTTGTTACAATAATATAGATTTAAAATTTAAAAAATTGCACACCTTTATTGTTAAAAGTAAAAAAGTCCAGGTTAAAACAGATTTAGCTACTATTCAAACCAACTCAAATTAAATTACCTATATTAATTTTTAAATTACTTGGACTTAAAATTGAAATTAGACTACTGGTTACTTTTAACTAATTTATCCTTTTTTCAATTTATTACCTTGGTAATTCAATTTCTGTCTATATGTATCTTCTTTGGATAAACAGTGTTGGCTTTTAAAATCTAATAATTACAAAATCAATAATATGATATATCAACTTTTGATGTAAAGTTTTCAAATGAGATCTCACCGATAGGTAGTTTCACTTAAATGCGGCCTAATTGGAAAATGATGGATTTTAATCTGTATATACAATATATAGCCTTGATCACAATGTAAATATATTCCAACTTCGGGATAACGAACATCAACTCAATAACATATGGATGGTTGGTGTACCTCAAGATAGTAAGCGATATCCGATTTTGGATTTTATTTAGTGGACTGACTTATTACCGGGTAGTTTACCTCAAAACATCAAAATATTTGTGAAACGATATGTTTTAATAATAAAAGGCTAGTTACTGTGACAAATGGTAGTTAAATATTGTGTCTAAATAACAAATAAAAATAGTGTGTAGTTTAAATTTATAATAAATTCGAGAAAGTCATTACTGTTTCTGAATATAGTTAGCCACGGAGTTAATAATGAATATCTACTTATCGTATACATGTATGGAGAACCGTAAACGAATTCCAATATTTCATAAAAATGAATTCATATTATTATGTAATGGACGTGGTCTTTTAAATTTTAAATAACAAAATTCCAGTTATATAACGTACTAACATAATTAATCGATTTTATTTTGTTTGTATATGTACCTACTGATTAACAGAAACTGTAATTCATGTAGTGAAAATTTCCCTTAGTATTTCTTAAAAAAAACTCGTAAACTACCGACTGCGACGAATGCTATTCGTTCATTATTCATTATTTGAGAACTGAAACTATATCTGGGTTCCAATGATTTATGCAGATTATATCTCTTCTTCCTGATGTATAAAAAAACATAAAGCAAATTAGTGCTTACGTTACTTTTTTTTATATGTTATGTAGGTAGGTACAAAATTTTAAAATACACCTGCATTTTTTTTATTTTTAAAGAGTAACATATAGGTATGTAGTCTTCTTTGAGCGAATTTGTATGATTTTAAAAGATCACTTACGTGAATACATCATGAGTGTCAATTTTTCAAGCTATTAAGTAGATTGTCATCAATAAATATGAATTTTTCGTCTATTTTGTTGAATAACTTTTTAAGTTTTCATTTTAAAATATTGGTTAGCTTTTGATTTTTAGAAAAAATCAATCTTTCCATTTATGAAAACATATACCTAGTGTTCCATAAAAAAATTAAGTTAACGTAATTTCCGGTTCTACCGGAAAATAAAAATGTGAGGTTGCCATCTTTTAAAATGGTAGAAATTTGCTCAAAGAACTACAGCTTTATCTTTAAGAATAAAAAAGTTATAGGGGTTGTATCAAATAAAAGAAACACCCTGTATATTGAGTTTATTTATAATTTTTTGCACAAAAACATGCATTTCAGGTGGTATTTTTCGCTACGAGTTATTTAATAATGTCTTCTCGTTTCCGTTTGTCTTTTGCCTGTGTTTACCGTCTATAATTAGTTACCGATTTTATTAGACAGATAATCTCCGAAACTACTGAACTGACTGTTGTGAAATTTTAAATTCGTTTTTTTAGGAATATTTTGTAGATAGAAACACCCTAGTCAAAATTTTTCTGATCATCTTCACCAACATTTTGATGCCATCAACACAAAATTTTGCCTAGTAAATGCTAGTGACATTTTATATTTTTACTTGCCGAGCGTAAGCTAAGGAAGTATAGTAATCGAGTAATCGAATTGCCACTTTCATATTTTCTCGACGTCAATCTTCGAAACTACTGTACCGATTGTTGTCATATTTTGTATGTATGTTAGGGATACCATGTAGAAGGTTAAATAGGATGACGTTATCTAAGAAATTTATAATTTGTTTTTTTTGAAATTTTATAAAATAAAATACTCCTACACTTGTGTTGTGTGAATCAGTGTTTAATTTTCACCTTAGACATCCAGAATTTTTGGAAAAGATTCAAAACTGAATAACAATATTTTGTAATTTAACTTTGAAACTGCAAAACCGAATGCTCTGAATGCTAAGGTTATTGTAATAATGGTAAATCGTTAAGCAAGATGTATTCGTTTATCCCCTCCTAAAAAATTAATGACGTCATCTCAAAATTTTGCCGAATAAATCCTATCCAAAATCTGCAAAATATGATGAGTCGATACTTGTGATTTATCATTGCATTAAGTTTTTAAATTTCTTATACAGGGTGATTCATAAAAATTAATGAATAAGTCAATTTATTTTAATGATTAAATCGGGAACGACTCACTCCGCTTTCCCGAAATTTTGGGAATACAATACTGTTATCATTAGTATTACACTGTACCTATCCAAAGTGATAAATCATTTGGAACGTACGTCCAGCACGCTTCTTTACATTACTTTACCGTTAGATACATATCTTTATTTTAACTTATAAGGGTTGGATTTATTGTATTGTATTTCAGGGATTTTTTTGCAAAAAAAATCAAAATTGCATGAAACATTTTACAATTTGGTTTAATAACTATAAAACTAAATATTCTGAAATATTGCAAACGTTCTAAAGTTATCGTAAACATGGTAAATCGTTAACCAAAATAACCCTTGGTGACGTCTTCTCAAAATTTTGCTTAATAAACTCTATCAGAAAATATAGATGTAAAATATGAGTACCTACCTATGTGCTCATAAATATTTTTTAAAATTGCTTCTACACAAAAAATTCATGCATGAAGCAAATTATTTTATTGATCAAATCAAGAACGGCTGAGTCTATTGTTTCTAAATTTTGGGAATACAGTCCTGTTATTATTAGTACTACTCTTCAAATGGATACTTATATATGGGTTCTTCCATATGGAAACACCAAAGTTGAATTAAAAAGTGCGCCGCATTATTTTTGATTTTGATGAAAAAATTGAAGATGATTTTTTAGGTAACCAATATGAAAAACCATCGTCTTTTTTTTGATGCTTAACCCTTAGAAGACTGCAGACCATTTTCAAACTTTCTTATTATGGACTGCAACTTTTTTTCTATAACACGTATTGAAATGATTGTAATTTTATTTTACTGCCTAAGAAGTGTGCTTTCAATAATAAATACAAGTATTTTATTTGAACAAGCCATCAACGCATGCAGAACTACTGAAATTTCGTTATAATTTCCTGATTTAGGTGATTTTCAGCTGGCTCCTGTGCTAACACTATTGATCTGAGAAAGTTGATTTTTTTCAGACATTTAGTAGGTACTCATACAGTAGAAAATGTGACGGAAGTTTTAAGTTCTTGGATTATTATGTTCTTGGAGAAAAAAATTGCTTGAAATATGTAAACTTTCAGAAATAGCCTACTTTGCGCCTCAAATCGATATGTTGAGGAAAAAATACAAATTGGAAACTTTCAGGAAATGTAGTTCCTACGTTCATCTTTTCACCTTTTTTTCCACAACAAATGATTTCAGGAGCCAAAATAAACTATTTTTGAAAGTTTACAAATTTCAAGCATTTTTCGTCCAAAAAAATGATGGTCCAGGACCTTAAAACTTCCTTTACACTTTCTATTATATGAGTACTAAACGCCTGAAAAAATCAACTATTTCAGGTTAATAGTGTTGACACAAGAGACAGTTGAAAGTCACCAAAATCGGCAAATTATAACGAAGTTTTAGTAGCCCACATTCATTGGTGCTTGTTCAGGTAGGTACGGAGTGCTTGAAACTTTTTAATCATGGGTCATGTTAAAAAAAATCTGATTCCGAAAGACACATACTGTCAAGAAAATAACTTTTTTGACAGTAGTGTCTGCATCTACATGTGCGATTAATTGAACAATTACTCAATCAAAACTGACAGTCACTATAAAAACAAAATAAATGACTATTAAATACCCATAAATTAATTAACAAATTAAACTGAACATTCCGCGTCCTTCCAACACCACCGCAATGCACTTTTTTCTTGCGCCGAAAGGTATAATTTAAACATTGTCAACTCACACTCCAGCAAAAACCCAGCAACCATCCTACTGCATTACCTCAAGGAAATCGGCCCCCGCAGCCACCTGCGGCGAATTCGCCTGCACCTGATACGTCGAATAGGCGCAATTCATCCTGCCGCCGCCGCCGCTCACCACCGTCCTCGCACCGCCGCCATCTCTGTTTACGCCGCAAATCTAATTGAATAAAGCAACCACCAATTTGCGCGACAAAGTGCCGGTTATTCGGTAAGGTAATTGTCGGCGTTCGTATCGTCGTAATTATAGAGTGTCGTCGTTGCGCGATGTGATGGACCGGAACAGCGCGCGACTGACTGCGTACGGCCGCGGCCGGCGGCGGGCGGCGAGCGTGGGGCTCCGGTTGTGCGTGCTACGAAACGCCCCCGCGGATCGCTGGGGCCCCGATTGGAGCTCTACCTGATCGCACGCCCCGCGACCACCGCCACGGTGAAGAGAGACGAGGCTCGGCGCGGTGCGAGACGATGGAGTTGACCGTTTTTTTCGAGAGGACGGACGCCGGGATCGATAGGTGGATGGGGCAACAAGTGATTTTTGAACGTACACCCTGTATACACTTGGAACGACAGCGAAGCGGTCATTTTTCGAAAAATTCCTTAAAAATTATGATCGCCGTCAAAAAGTGTGCTTTTTGAATAATGCTGAATTAGAGATAAAAAATCCAAACTGTGGCAAAACAATCTTGACGCCAGACTGCCTAATTGTCACTATTCATAAGCTTAAGGAAATAAATCATTACCACAGATTTAAATGCTGCATATATATCTCTGTTGATGCAAATTACTATCACCCTAGAACAAAAAACGAGAAATTACATACTTTTAAGGAGTCTTTACTGTTGCTTCCTGCCACACTACCCGTCACTCAAGATGCATTAAAAAGAGCCCTAGAAATCACTGATTAGGAATAAAACTAACTGGTGTATATAAAGTTATTTAGACAGAACTTTCGTCACCCCTAAACTACAATCCAACAAATTCGGCTTTATTTTTTATGATAACCCCTACCTATATATAGCAAATATAGACATCTAATAGTTCTAATATCAATCACATTCATCAAATCAAATAAAATAAAATAAGAGCAATAAACTCAGATCTTAATCTTCATATTGGAGGTACCACTATTTCTTCTGCCCGAGTAGTTAAAAGTCTTGGGTTATATATTGATAATCAGCTAAAATTTACTGACCATATAAATAAGATCTGTCAAACTACATTTAATGGATTCAAATTGATTTCCCCCAATAAGAATCTTTTAGACATTCGCTCCAAACGCTTGTTGACTGATGCCTTGATATTACCACATTTAAACTATATGCTGACATAGTATATGGTCCCTGCCTATCTTGTGTGGACAAATATCGTTTGCAAAAGATTCAAAACTTTTGTGTGAGATATATTTATTCTATTCCAAGTGAGACACATATTCCACCTTTTGTACGGAATTTAGGCTGGATGAAAATGCATGAAAGACGTTTCCATCACTTTATAAAACCCATAATAAAAATCCGACTTCATAATGAGCCTCACTATTTGTAAAATAAAATTTTAATTCGTAGTTCTGTATATGACAGAAACCTGAGACAAGTGGATCTGACTGTTCTTCTTAATCCTTGAGTTCATATAAATCGTCATTTTCATATTTAGCTGTATATGTCATAAATAACGTTTTACGTCATTATTCCAACTTAAATAACCATTACATCATCAAATCTGTAAAGGATCTCTTATTGGCGGAGCAAGCAGAAATAAAATTAAAATTAAATTTAAATCTTTTTTAAATGCTGCATCTATGTATATAATACTATCTATAAAAATTATGTTCGTCTTTCATATTTTACAACTTCTATTTCATATCTCATTTCTTTTCAACATAGGGACAGATTGTAAATGAGTAATACTGAATCTGCTTTTTCTCCCTTTTGAGTATGCATTATTTATTTATTTTTGTTTACTTGTAATTTTTCTTTATGGTACTCAATAAAGTTATTATTATTATTACATTCTAAGGAAAAAATGTGGCCCATGAGCGTAGCGTAAACAAACACTCAAGGCGAATTCATAAACCACAAGTATAATGCAAGATTATGCCATTTATAAAATTTGAATAGCATGCAAAAATTTTGGTCGACGTTGTACCGTCTGCGATATTCTTAAAATACTATAAAATTTGAAAACAGTGGGTAGGTACTGTAGTTTTGGAAATTGTCTGTCTAATAAATATTGATACAGGTGACAGAACAGACCACAGACGACAGATAAATGGAAACAGCAGTTACTCTAGGATTATGAAACGTCGAGAAAACATGAAAGTAGCCATTCATCGGCTATTTTTAGAATTTTGAGGAAATTAGATGGATATACCATTTTTGATCTAATCAATGAAATCAATTAATAAATTCATTACATTTTTAAACAGCTTGTATAAATGATTCTATAAAAGCTAAAAACATACTCTTATAGCGTAAAAATAATGTCACATCTCTAAGCATATAATGTTTTAACATTTACTTATTCAATAATTTTTTGCAAGGAACTCATTCATTTCAGCCACTGTTTTGTAACTAAAACTTGATTAGTATGTATCTTGAAAAAATATAAAAAAATGTTTCGAAGATGCTGAATAAGGAAACATGTGATGGTATCAATTTTAAACAGTTTTACTTAATTTCTAGATGATGTTACCAAGTTTTTAGTAATTTACCATATTCATGAATTCATGATATTCTTAAACACAGAATTTCAGAACAATCGATTGCTCTTACTCTACTAATAAGAGATAAGGAGAAAGATTTTGAGATGACGTCACCAAATTTGTGATGGGGACGGTGATACGAATTTTGGCTAAAGTTTCAGCATCTACCTACATGACATTTTTAAAATACATCTCAAATGTAACAGCAATCTGTCCAGTAGTTTTAGAAATTACCTATCTAATAAAATCGCCAACAAATGAGAGGCAGACAACACACAGCTGATTAAAACATGAGCATCATTTTTTCACATTTTAAAAGAAAAAAAACTGAACACCAATATGAAAATTGTCCAACATTTTGTCTACGTTTTCTAAAGTACTTGGTTAATAAATTGTTTATTGTAGCAGCAGGATTGGGCTTTATTATTAAATGGAATTAGGTAATGCTGTGTACAATTCTCAGTTTGTCTCAAATATTACACACGTGCGTTTGCGTAATTAAAATCGAGTGCAATAGACAAAAAATGTCCTCAAATTGGCAGTAGACGAACAAATTCTAAAATCGAAATCCTGTGTCAACTAGAAAACGACTTCGGATGCTCGCCCGTTTCGTGCTCCTACAACTTATACTGTGCCTCCCACTTTGGCACCAGATATTTAATTTTTAGATAGTGACTAAAAATTACTTAATGTAAAAGCGAGTAAACGTAATAAAAGTTAACTTTGATGGTTTTAATAAACAAATGCATTTAGAACATATATTTTCAAAAAAAATCTTCAAAACAATTTAAAAAATTGGTCGAAAGTTATATCAGAATTATTGAAGTCCAATAAATCATCCAGCTTTTTCGAAAATTTACAAAATTTGATTTTGCAAATTTTATTTATTTTTTTATAAAAGTCCCTGTAAGTTGAAACAAGGATATGTATGCACTGTTGAAGTAAATGTAAAGAAGTATGCTACGCGTATGTTTCAAACGAGTTTTTCTCCTACACAAAATTTTGTATATCAATTTGGGGAGGTGCAGTGTAATATTAATAATAACAATGTTGTGTTCCCAAATTTTTGGGCAAATGAAGTGACCCGTACCTAACCTAATCAATAAAATAAATCGAGTCATTCGTTATTTTTTTTGAGTCACCCTGTATAAGCAATTTAAAAAAACGATGAATGTGTTGATAAGTCGCAATCGATAGACTCATCAGTTGTCATTTTTTGCATATACTCGACAGGATTTATTCTGCAAAATATATTTTAAGTAAAAATTTACCATGCTTAGGATAACTTTAAAATGTCTGCAAGATTTAAACCATTGGGGTTTTTCAAAATGCAAAATGTTTTATTTTAATTTTTTTCCCAAAATCTGGAGCTTTCAGATAAAAATTCAACTCGGGCTCATAAACTACACTTACAACAGAATGCTATTTTATACAAATTAAAACCCATTTACTATGTTCAATTTTGAGGTGACGTCGTCACATTGTTGGCGGAGATAATGTTACAAAATTTGGTTAATGTTTTAGCACCTACATCTATTCATAATATACATATAAAATTTGATAACAATCGGTCCGGTAGTTTCGGAAACTATTTCGTAACAAAAACCGACACAGACGATGGACAGACATGCGGAAATGGGAGACACTTTTTTTTGTACTCCATAGGACATCGAGAAAATATGACAGTAGCGATTAGTGGACTCGACTACAATACTTCAAAAGATTGGGTTTACCACACAGTAGTAAATAATAATGTCTTAAAAATAAAGTCAAAGATGTCATTCGTAAATTACGACATGCATTTTGGATTCCTACCCCCCCCCTCCACTATATCACAAGTTGTCACATTCGTGTGACCCGCCGTCCCTGTTGTGACGTCACATATTTTTCAGCTTTTAATCTAGATAGAGTTAATTTTGATTAAAACAACATTGCCATTATTGCTTTTATCTATTCTGCAAACATATTTTTGAAAAATGAACTTAAAAAAATTAGTCTAAAGTTATTTAGAAAGAATTTCTCTCGCTTCTGAAGTACACTGTAACATATTCCACTTCTTTAAAAATTATAAAATCAGATTTTGGCAAATTTTATTTTTTATGATAACCCCTATAAATTAAAATTATATAAATAATACCGGTTATAGTTTTAGAAAAAAATAAGCCGCGTAAGGTAATCGAATCAAGTCCCTTCGCATTGGGAGTAGGGCACGCTAACTGATATACTTCACCACGGAGCGGATTCATAAACCATAAGTACAGGAGTATGCTACTCTATAAAATTTAAATGGTGTTTATTATGAAAAATTTTAAGTAAGGTCATCAAAGTGTTGCTAGAGATGTTTAAAAAAATTTTGGTTAACATTTTACGATATTCCTAACACTCATACAATTTTACAACAATCGGTTCGGTAGTTTCAGAAATTACATATATCTTTAATGCAAATCGATAAAGTCACCAGGCGACGGGCAGCCCTCTGACAGACGGAAACGAGAGATCGATTGTTTCGCACTCTAGTACATGAAACGTCCAGAGAACATGAATATAGTCATTCGTCGGATGGCTTAGGTACTCGGGAAGTAAAAAA